CCGTCTCTTGCCTGTATCTCCTTCCAGAGGTCCTGACTTTGACAGGGCTATGGTCTAGGAGTGTCACTGTGTCTAATTATTCAGCATGGTATCTATATAGCCATATGTGGCAGCTCTGATGGTTACTCTCTCATGATACCCCAGGTAAGGGAGAATCCCCAAACCACAAAAGTCCCCCTGACAATAAGAGACATATACAAGCACCCCTAGACCTCACCTTATTCTTTGGGGGACTTTTCTAGGCTACATCAAAGCTCTAATTCCTTACATTATTCACTCCCTCTGTTTTTGCTTAGTGTGAGCCCAACCATAATTCTGAAGGAGAGGAGAAGGTAGGCAGAAATATAGGAAGCTAGCGCCACTTAATACACCTTGACTATCATAGGCAAAGTTCTTTTGTAGCAAGAAAGAGAACTATGCTTCAAGTTACCCTACGTAAGTAAAATACACAGCAATTCGCTATGAAGGTACTGAGTATATCAGTCAGGATTCCTGCTTACTTGCTATAGCAGCAAGGCCTGTTCATCTGAAGCAAGAGAGGGTTTTAGGAGAGCTTTGGGGGCTCATAGAATGGAGGGAAATTGGAGACCTTCCTTAGCTTGGGAAATGGATAGGGCTCAGAGAGCAGGAGCCACAGCTGTGATCCTCTGTCCCAAAGCAGAAAAAGGCTGGTCATTTGCTGTCACTACAGCTGTCAGATCAGACATCTTAAAGCTCCTCAAGGACCTCAAGACCTGGGAGAGAACACCCCACTCACCGAGCCTGGGCCATAGTGGGTATAGTGATGGAGAAGGGGAGGCCTCAGCTCTGAGGCTTCTAGAAGAAAGGTACTTCTGCTCCCCATGACCACCTATGAGGGATGGGAAAAGGGAAAGGGTGTTTTAAGAGCCCAAACTGCCAAATGTCCACAGCAAGGGCCATCACAGCACTTGGACAGGAAGACTCATGAGGAATGTGATCTAGAACCAACCCCAGAAGAGTCTCTTTCTCATTCTCTTGTTTCACCCCCTACTCAGAATCTCTTTTTCTCTGACTACAAAACTTTCTCCACTTCTTCTGTGTCTCCCATTTTATTTATCTCAGCTTTAGTCTCCCACAGAGCCAGCATCTCTCTGTTCTGATTCCAAATTCTTTTTTTTTTTTTTTTTGTAGAGACAGAGTCTTACTCTATCACCCTAGGTAGATTGCAATGGTGTCACACAGCTCACTGCAACCTCCAGCTCTTGGGCTAAGGTGATTCTCTTGCTTCAGCCTCCCGAGTAGCTGGGACTACAGGCACCCACCACAACGCCCGGCTATTTTTTTGTTGCAGTTTGGCTGGGGCCAGGTTTGAACCCCCCACTTTCAGTATATGGGGCCAGCGCCCTACTCACTGAGCCACAGGTACTGCCCCCCTGCCCCGATTCCAAATTCTTGAGAGAGATAATCTGTCTTTTTCAAATTGGGTGGTCTCAGAGAAAGTAGTTCTTTTAAATAGAAAAGATACTCTCGGCTCGGCGCCTGTGGCTCAACCCGCTAGGGCGCCAGCCACGTACACCTGGGGTGGCGGGTTTGAATCCCCAGCCCAGGCCCGCCAAGACAACAATGACGGCTGCAACCAAGGAATGGCCGGGCGTTGTGGCGGGCGCCTGTGGTCCCAGCTGCTTGGGAGGCGGAGGCGGGGGACTCGCTTGAGCCCGGGAGTTGGAGGTTGCTGTGAGCTGTAATGCCATAGCACTCTACCCAGGGGGACAGCTTGAGGCTCTGTCTCAGAAAAAAAAAAAAAAAAAAAAAAGATACTCTCAAACATACCCTACACGCTGGAATAAAGTTTGGGTGCATATATGCTCACAAGGGGTTTATTTCTACACAGACAATGCCATGCAGAAAAGTTTGAAGATAGCCTGCTATTTGAATAAATTAAGTAGAGAAGTTGCAAAAAGGATGTCTAACCTACAAAGAAAACCTACACTTTTGAAATCACTTTAGTCACGCCATTTACAAGCAGCTAGGTGTTTCTTAGATTCAATTCAAGCTCTGTTATAGAGCATGTTTGTGTTATACATCTGAGTAGAGCCAACTGTGCTTCTCTAAAAATAGGACACAATTTGGGCTTTCCCTAAATCAATAGGGCCTTTTGACCTTCTTCTCAGTGCAATTACATTTTGTTCCCTACTTGGTACCTTTCCCTAAAATGTTATCTGGCAAATGCCTGCCACATACAAGGTACCTATATATGTTGAGAAATGAATGAATGATGGATTGAATGAATCAATTACAGTAGAACCTCTGTAAGTTGTCCACCCAAAGGACTAACAAACTGGTCAACATAGGAAAGTGGTCAAAATGAGGAACCATTGCCCACTGATAGGTATGTGTGGTGCATGTCTGGGCTATGAAAATTAGGTTAACTTAAGGAGGTGATCAATATAGAGAGGTGGTCAACTATGGAGGGTCTGCTGTACTTCACCCAAGCCAAAGTTGTTTTCTCAAGCAACACATAATGGGCAAGTTCTGTAATAAGAAACTATTTCACCTGCTTTGCTTGGAGGTACTAAGAGGGAGCAGTTCTCCCCCAAAGGTCTGTAATTTCAAGATCAGGGTAGTGAACATTTTCTGTGGTCACTTAGGTTCCTCCAGCAGCCATCTATGCCTTCCTCTTTTATTTGCCTCTAGCACAACAGATGATGGGGAGGGGATCAAAGTTCAATCATTCGTTTAAGGAGAAGATACTGAGTCCTGAAGGAAGCCAGGCACTGTCCTAGATGGGGACACAATGATGAACAGAAGGATCCTGGAATTTCTCTCCTTTTTCCTCCCAGCTTTGCCTTACTTGCTCCATCCCCATTTTCACAACCTTAGTCCAAGTCACCCTCATTTCACCTTGACCCCTGCTGTAGGGTCAAGTGAAGACCCATTTCTTCACTTCCACTCTGACCCTTTGCACTTCATTCTCCAAAAAGCAGCCAGAGAGAGCTTTTGAGCAGTAGATCAGGCCCTGTTACTCCCCTGAACTGTGCAGACCAGAATACAGCTCCCCCTAGCTAGGCCCTGTGTGTGCTGCAGCCTGCCTCACCCATCCAACCACCTTTAATCTACAGGCTACTCCCCCTGGCCCCTGATGGAGAGCATGCCCTTCCCTCTCTCTGAAACTCTCTCTTCCTTGCCTCCACCTCAGTTCTGCTCAGTGAACTCCTAACTGGCCTTATCTCATCTCAGACAGGATCCACTGCTCTCTGCTGTCACTCCCAAGTTTTCTCTCATTTATTGCACTTACAGATTTGTAGTGGTGCATGACTGACTTGATTAGTCCATAAAGGTCAGTTTCCCCTGCTGATGCGGAAGCTCCTTGAGGTCAGGGACTATATTCATTTGCTAAGGCTGTCATGACTAAATACTGTGAAACTGGGTGGCTCAAACAGCAGAAATTTATTCTTGAGGCTAGACGTCCAAGATCAAGGTGTAGATCAACAGGTTTGGTTTCCTCTGAGGCCTTTCTCCTTGGCTTGAAAATGGCTGCCTTCTTACCATGTCCTCACATGGCCTTGTTTCTGTGTGCATGCATTCCTGGTTTATCCTGGTGTGTCTAAATTTGCTCTTTTTGTAAGGACACTAGTCAGATTGGATTAGGGCCCATCCTAATGACCTCATTTTAACTCGGTCACCTCTTTGAAGTCCTATCTCCAAACACAATCACATTGTGATCACAATCACAAATCAATTTAATGTCTTTCACATACAAATTTTGAGAGTATACAATTTAGTGCATAACTAGGACCATGTCACCTCTGCTCACCATTGTGTCTCCCACCCAGGACAGTGCCTAGCCTGTTGCAGGACTCAATACATTCCTTTTAAATGAAAGACTGAATTTCAACTCCCTTTTCATCTCTCTCTCCCCACCATATATTTGCTAGAGGCAAAGAAAAGAAGGTGGCATGGGTTGCTACAGGAGGATCCTAAGTGACCACAGGAAATGTTTGCTACCCTGATCTTGAGATTATACAACTTTGGAGGAGAATTGCTCCCTCCTAGTACGTCTGTTGGGGAAAATAATCAGCCCCCTGTCAACAATTGGCCCTTCTATCCTGGGTGAGTCTTTGCCCACATGGGCTGCTCAGGGAGTTTTGTTAACAGCTGCACACCCATCCGCCTGGCTCTCTTTAGAAGGTGAGTCACAGGCTGCTGGGAGTGTGGAACTACATAGCTCCCGGAAAGCAGTTTAGCAACAGGTACCCAAACCTAAAAAAAGTTATGTCTTGCAACCTTATAACTCCAAAGCCAGGAAACAAATCTGAAGAACTAGTGGGCGTGGGAGAGGGGGAAGATTGATACTAAGATGAGTTTATATCCATTTTTATTTTAAACAAACTGCCGACTATTATAATATTGACAATCTAGGAAGAACCTGAATGTGTAACAATAGGCGAAAGCTTTGTGAATCTAGCACGTTCATATGACAGACAATTACTTAGCTCTTGAAAAAGTTGTTCATGAAGAATTTTTAATGATACAAGGAAGTGTTACATGAGCTTGTGGGGCACAGATTGCATACACACTCAGATGGGAGTATTCTAACGCATGCATATATGCATACATTTGGAGAGAAAAGCCTCCAAATATCCAAATGTTAATACTGTTTTACTCAGAAGCAGAGATTTTCTTCTTTATGCTTTTTGTGTTAAAATTAGCATGTGTTGCTTGTACGACCAGAGAAGTGAGGGCAAACTTTTTAAAGTGGCAGTGGCAATGGAAATCAGCCTCGGGCTTCTGTGCCTGCTGCCAGCCCTTCCCTGGGATCTCCCGTCCTACCCAGGGTTGTCCGGCTGGCTTATGGAAAGAGACTGCTCAGGGGCGGAGGGAGGTGACAGGCTTGGCATAGCGCTCCGTGGATGGTCAGGGGAGGGGCCGAGCCTTTCTGACATCGGAGAGAGTGATCTGGGCTACGCCGGGCGCCTGGAGCGCTGGTCCAGCCCCGGGCCATCGCGGCCACCGCCCAGTGCGCTTTGCCACTGGCCAGGTGTAAAATGCCGTGTCATTGGGAGACTCCGCGGCCGGAGCATTAGATTACAGCTCAAAGGAGCCCGGGTAGGCGGCGGGGGCGAAGATGAGCAGAAGCCCCTGTTCTTCTCGGAACGCCCGCTGACAAGCCAGTCCACTCGAGCAGCCCGCGGGTGTCCTGTTTCCCTTTAAGAGCAACAGCTCTGAGCCGGGAGCCAGAGATCCGAGGAGGCCTTGCTCCGCCAGCCCTCTTCTCTGAGGGGACCCACGACCTGCACGTCAGCCCTCCGGGACCTTCCCTGGCCCTCTTCGCGCCCTAGACGCACGGGGGCCCCAGGCGCTCCAGGCATGCTGAGGGTCTTCATCCTCTACGCCGAAAACGTCCGCACTCCGGACACCGACATCAGCGATGCCTACTGCTCCGCCGTGTTTGCAGGTAGGAGGGGCCGCCACTCCTCTGGGGATCGGGTGGGGTCGGGAAGGGGGTGTCACGGCTCTCTACCTTGGAGAGCGTCTGGAAGTGACAGACAAGACTTTCTGGTCCACCAGTAGGCCCTGGAGTGAGAGTTGCAAAGACACATCCTGGGGGGAAGAGCGCCTTAGAGGGAAACTGAGGCAGAGAGTTCGAGAGCAGAGAGGGAGGTGGCTGAGTATCGCTGAGCTCGGGTTGGCACTGAGGTAGGCCAGGAGGGCCTGAGGTAGGCCAGCACCTTTCCTCTCACCTCCTCAGGACCTTTTTAGAAGAGGTTTTTCGCACTGCAGAGGGCAGAGCGCTGTACTGCAGGCTCCCCTTCTCTCCCCGGAAGGCCTGGTCTCAGGCCTATTTATAACCCAGCTCTCTTCCCTCCCTGGCGTGGGCCTGGCTGCTTTCTGCCCATGCAGCCTTTGCTCACAAGAGGCTGGTGGCCATGGATGGGGGGCACCTCCCACCCTTCTACAAACTCTTGCTTTGGGCACAGCATGGGGGAAATTTAGCAACTGGGTATAGCTGTCAGCAGCACCAACCTTTAGGTACTTTCTCTCCCTGCCTCCATTAAACTGGTGCATGTAGAGGGTAGAATATGGGGTGTAATATCCGTTTCCATTCCAGAGAGGGGCCTCCTTGACCAGGGGAACCTGGTCCAGTATCAGATTGGGACCACCCACAGGAAGGTCTTCACAGGGTCATGACTGGACTTTTCCTAGGAGGGCAGGGCTTGGCCCTGTCTACTTCTTGGGGAACCCCTCAGGGCCAAGCCAGAGCTGAGGTCTACACAGCTGGGTCTTTGAACTGGGAGGTAAGAATTTGAGCCTCCCCCAATCAGGGTTCTCCTCTTAATGCCCTCTACTTGCCACTCCCTATCTCCCGAGGTCTGCCTTCTGGTCTCACTTCATCCCAGCCCTCTGGCCATCCAACACAGACGTCCCCTTTCTGTTTCCCCAACTTCTGGATGTGCCTGTTTACGTGCACGACGCACAGGCACTGGAGCAAATGGGATGTTCCAAGCAATGGCAGCTCTGAGAACACAGACATGTCCACCACAGCATTGCAGGTGGGCCCCATCAGGCACACCCACTTCTGGATGTGAGATTTTGGGGTGGGGGGTGTCTGTATTTGTTGGACTGGGGTCGAGCTCCAGAAGGAGCCTGGCGAGCAGTGCACACCAACGGGAGGAACCGAGGGAGTGAGCTGAGGGTGCCACTCCAGCTGTGCTTTTTTCCTAAAATGCTGCTCTCAACCAGTTTCCTCTGGGGGCCTCAGGAAATGAGCTTTATCAAGGTGTTTCCAGCAGAGAGGAAAGGGTGTTAGTGAGGATTTTTCATGCTTCCTCTCTCCAGGCCAGGTCAGCGGCCCTGTTCAGTTGCCTGACTGGGGGGCCCTGGCCTCTAGGTTGCTGTCGGTATTCCCCTGGTTGAGGGGAGGGAGGAGTCTATCATCAGACAGGGAGGACAGGCAGCTGCCTCCCACCCAAACACCCAGCCTGAGGGCTGAGGAGGATTTACAAAACAGTCCCCTCTGCAGCTATGCAGCCCGCAAATGCCTACCTGCTTGCAGAGCCCCTGCTCTCAGGGGCTTTGTCCACTGGTGTTCACTCACCTTAACTAGACTTGCCTCCACCTTCCCTCTGACCACACCCGCCTCCCCATACACTCAATACACTAACCTTCTACCTCACTTCATCCAGGCTCAGAAACCTGGAAGAAAGGAAAGGATGAATAATAAATGCAAAACACTTGGTGAGCCCAGAAGTGCTTCCTCTCTAGGAAATACTACTGGTATGGCTTCCCTTCTGTCGTTATTTCAGCCCCAAGGGCCTGTCTGTGGAGCAGTATCCCCCCATCCTCAAGGCATCCTCCCATTTTCACGTCTCTAACTGGGCTCCTCCCCTGCCTGTCCACAGCCTGCCCTTTGCCCACTGCCTGGCTCCTCTGAGTGCACTCTCCCTTCCCAGAGCCCAGAGCTCACTGTGGAGAAAGGAAGTATGTTGTCTGTGGGGATCAATCCGGAGCCTCTGAGCCTGGGAAGGCTCACTCCCAGTCATTACTGTCACTACCAGGAAGTCCCAGGGAATGCAGTCCCTCCCCCAGCCCCTGGCCACATTTCACCTCCTGCATTAGCCAAGTTGCTAACCCATGTCCAAATTTGGCCTTCCTTCAGCATTCAGGCCTGCTCCCTCTCCTCCTCCTGCAAGGGTCAGGCTGGTGAATGATTACACAGACTCTGGTCTCAGGAGCATGCTTCAAAGCAAAACATGCAAACCCCCCACCCCCATAAAAAAGCCCTTCCTTAGATTCTGGCTTGGATCTGGCCTTCTCAGACTCTTTAGGTTTTTGTCCGATAAAGCTCCTCCTTTGGCTACATGATTATAATAGCCCATAACAATACCTCCTGGTTCCTCTGTATGCATAATTTCATGCTCACAGCAGCTTTGTGAGGCCAAAGAACAATGATATCACCCTTTGCAGTTGAAAAAAATAGATCCAGAAGAATGCAGGGGCCTGGTCAAAGCACCCCTGCCCAGCCCACATCATCAGTGCCCTCTGTTGTTCTCAGGATGCCTGGTTCATGAATAAGAAAGTCCTTCGGAAAGCATACTATGTACTGCCCACACCCAGGGCACCCTGGACTTGAGCTAGCACAGGGAGGCAGTGCTGGGTGTATCCAACCTGGAGCTGAGTCACAGTAGTAGGAGTGCAAGGCTGCAGGGAACACTATGTAAGACAAATGACCAAAAGATGGAGCATTCTGATTTTTTTTTTTTTTTTTGATACAGAGTCTCAAGCTGTTGCCCTGGGTAGAATGCCGTGGTATCATAGCTCACAGCAACCTCAAACTCTTGGTTTTAAGAGATTCTCTTGCCTCAGCCTCTCAAGTAGCTGGGCCTACAGGAGCCTGCCATAATGCCTGAGTATTTTTTGGTTACAGTTGTCAGGGTTGTTTGGCAGGCCCGGGCTGGATTTGAACCCACCAGCTCCAGTGTATGTGGCTAGTGCCCTAGATGCTGAGCTACAGGAGCCAAGCCCATTCTGATTTTTATTTTTATTTTTTTGAGACAGAGCCTCAAGCTGTCACCCTGGATAGAGTTGTGGCATCACAGCTCACAGCAATCTCTAACTCCGGGGCTCAAGCGAGTCTCCTGCCTCAGCCTCCCAAGTAGCTGGGACCACAGGTGCCCGCCACAACACCCAGCTATTTTTTGGTTGCAGCTGTCATTGTTGTTTGGCAGGCCCGGGCTGGATTTGAACCCGTCACCTTAGGTGTATGTGGCTGGCGCCTTAGCCACTTGAGCCACAGGTGCTGAGCTGCATTCTGATTTTTAAAATGTATTGTTCATCACAAGGAAAGGGAATGGACATTCATTAAACACAAACAATGTGCTATTTTCAAATACTATTTATTTAAAATCTCCCAACAGTTCTACAAAAGAGATCTATTTAACTGATTCTGTGCTTATGTGGCAGACACTATTGTTCTAAATAGACATATGACCTGAGCTACATCATGACCTTTTAATAATTTGTCCCAGGCACTTATTAATGTATGTATATACACATGCCTCATTTAATCCTCCTGGCAAGCATGTATAGTGGCAACTGTCGTCACTCCCATTTTACAGATTAAAAAATGAGGCACAAAGAGGTGAAGTAACTTGCCTAAGGTTATACACTGCCAAGTAGTGGAGTTGGGATTCAATCCTAAGCAGTTTGGCCCCAGAGATTCCTTTCCATATCCCCTGTCTTTAAGTGCTCTACTTTCTACATCTCTCTTTACTTCTGATTTACCAAAGATAAGCAATAAAAGGTGGAGGGGTAGGACTTGAAACCATGCCTGGCTGTGTCCCTGAAGCCTACTTTGGTTTGCACGTTGACGTTTCACACCCTGGCACATTAGACATGTTCCTGTTGCTGCTATTTGCTCACCAGGCACAGACATCCTCGGCTCTTGTGCTGTGGTCTTGAGTATGCTTTTTTATCTCAGGGGTCCCTCACCTTCTGTATCACCCTCCTGTACTTGATGGCACCAGGTGGGCAGCCTGTGGTGGGTATGGCAGGTCCTCTTGTACCTCCCAGAGGGGGCAGTGTAACTGTGTGTCCCCAGCTCAGCTAGTCTAGTTTAAAGTAAAAGCTGTGTGGGCCACCCCAGAGTGCAGATACCTGGTAGCTTTGGTCACAGGCTATGGGATGAGAGCATCAAAGAAGGGAGAGAACAACTGATGGGACCTTGAACTTGAACTAATAACAAAATTGTATCTCATTTAAATCTGAATGTGGCTGGTGCCTCTGAATCCCAGTTCTGCTACTTTCCAGCTGAGTGTCTTTGAATAAATTTAACTGCTCTGTGTCTCAGTGTTCTCATCTGTAAAGTATTGATAATAACGGCACATACTTGCTTTGGAGGGATGGTTCTGAAGGATTTATGTGTTAGTCTGTATAAAGCACTTTGAACAGTGCCTGGCACTCAGCATTCTTATATGTTATGATGTATTTATTTATTATAATACTTACTATTAATATTTATGGTACCTATACTAAGAAGTCATTGCATACATGCAAAAAGTGTTTAAATATCTTTTTTTGCCTGGTCAATTCTCTTATCAGCTTTCTTTGTTCATCCACGGTTTTGCCAGGCTAGACACAACTGGCTGAGCAGGGAGTGGCCATCCCATCTGCTACTGGGGACACTGGTACTGCCTTCTCTAGGTGCCCCTCCTGGAGCAGCCCATTCCAAAGTGAAGGCATTTGTCTACTTGCTTGATGGCTGGCTGTGGCCTACACAACGGTGCTTCATTTTGGGGGAACAAATATTCCTCTGATAACTCACTCTAGGACCCCAAAATCTCCTGATGCCATCTCCCTAGTCTCACTCTTCCTCTCCTACCTACCCACTAGGCTCTGGAAACTCATGCAGAGTGTACCTCTCAAGGTTGATGTCCTTGAGCACAGAGTCAGGGTTTG